TAAATAACAGCAAGTGATCTTAGGGCGTGTGGAATCCAACCAAGTGACTGGGTAACTAACTAACCGGCTGACTGTCGTTATCATTGTCATCATCATCGTCATATGCGTGTGAGTGTGGTTATGTGAATGTCTGCGCATGAATGAAAGAATGAATGAACGAACGAATGAACGAGTGAGTGAATAAATGTGACGGTGGCAAAGGCTTGAATTTCTTAGCCATTCATTACCAGCCATAAAATGCGACTATAAAGCCATTTGTGCCACCAAAGTGCACTTGTACTGCATTGCAATGCTTTCCGTTTCGTATCTAATCTTAAATGACTTTGTTTCTTCTTCTTCTCCGTTTGCTTTGTTTGTTTTTGAGTTGCAACATCAGTTGTGGCAGTAGCAGCCATCACCCCACAGCACCTCTGCCGCCATCCCCGACAGTAGCTGCATGTGTCCCCATTACTGCTGCACGTAGATAGTTTTAAGTTTATTCATTCATTTGTTTTTATTATTGTGGGATGAAAATGATGGGCTGGTTGGCTGGTCGTTCGGTTTACTGGGGGTCTATCTATCTAATGAATATCTTTTTTTTTCGTCTTCTTCATGCTCATGTCATTTGGTGGCTTAACGTATTGATGTGTCAACCTCCTGAGGATTTTCACCTGGTGATGTCAATGCAAGAGTAATTAAAAAAGAAACATTGGACGATAGCGACGACGACATCAACGTCAATGGGTGGATAGTGCACGAGGTAATGATTGCTCAGTCGCTGTGAATGTCAGTCAGTAATGCCGAAGTGGTGTCGAAGGAATTGGGTTTAGGTTTTAAATGGTGTCTAGCTGAACTGTAAGATAATACGACAATTTATTAAAATGTTTGTTTTGAATGGATGGGACAAGAATGTGGGTTGTGTTGGCAAAGTGTATCTTAAGGACAAGATACGTAAGAGGATATTTTCGGGCATAGCGAAGAGGTTGGAATTTTATTTAGAAGTGCCAAGGAATTTAGTGCGATTATAATTTAAAAAGGGAAGGATACCCAAAAAGTTAAAACATTTTAGTCGATATTATTTATGTAGAGCCGTTTTTCCCGAACTCTACACCAGGTATAATTTTCGTAAAAATATTGTATGTTTGTTGAAATTTTAAGAGGACTGGGTAACAACTTAGCTTTTTATGGGAGTTATGATATAAATGTGACCCTTTGTCGGTAAGGTACCAATTCGAGTGGATCGACACATCCTTTTCAATTATACCCTCCACCATACTACGGAAGGTATATTAACTTTGTCATTTCGTTTGTAACTCCTCGAAATACTCATGTCAGACCCAACAAAGTATATATATTCTTGATCAGCGTAAAATTCTAAGTCGATTTAGCGATGTCTATAGCCCCCACATAACGGTACCTTCCTATATTCAGTATTTTGATGATTTTGGCGACATTATTCACTACAATTGTTTTAAATTTTGTATTTGAAGTTGGTAATGGATACTACAGCCTGTGACAGAAAATTGTCTGTGCAGGTTCATGTCTTCCTAAAGCTCACATATAATGGTACCTCCCAATATTCGTTATTTTGATGATTTTAGGTACGATACTCGCCGAAATTGTTTGAGATGTCGTATATGAAGATCGCAATGGATGCTACAACCTGTGACAGAAAATTGTTTATGCAGGTGTAGGTCTTCGTATAGCTCCGATATAATGGTACCTCCCTACATACGGTATTTTGATGCCTTTAGCTCCAATATTCACCGTTTATTTCATGTTTCGAATTTGAATATGGTAATGGCTTATGACAAACAAAGACTATGTAGGTTACCTTCGTAGAGACCCCAGTATAACGGCTATATTCGGTATTTCTAAGATTTTAACAGAGTTTTAAAAGGATTTCTTTTTTTGAAATTTCTAGATACATATTATCTCTGTTCACAAGCCTGAGGGTAAATAAATCAAACCTCAGTTTTGAAGTTCTTGTAATTCGTTCAGTATTTTTCCACCGTTCCGAATATTCCGGAATTTCCACCGGAGCTTTTTGAGGATCTCCTCGAACCATTGATATGTTTTATGTTAATATTATGACGTGCCAACTTTAAACTACATCAGGTACTTCCTTTGCTCAATATAATTGGGGATAGGTGGGCTAATTCCCCCGACCGATTTTCCAAATATCTCTGTTCACAGAAGAAATCCCCAATACATAGGTCCATCAAAGGATTGCTTATTTGTATATTTTCCAATGAACGACCCAACTACTGATCTAGTATAAATTAATTTCATCTATCCTCCTCTCGCAAGACCGTTACTTACATTTATTTTTCCATTCCATTTTATCGAATTTAAACCCAGTAATTGGCTATACAAATGTTCTGTGTACAGAGTTGAGGTGTTAAAAGTTTAAAGGATGCCTCCGGCTATGGTAATTGGTTTTTAATTTTCGCCTGAGTTTTATCACCATATCAACGAAAATCGTTGCTGCTCTACTCACTACTTTTCCAAACAGACAAGAATTGAATGCAACTGATGTCAGGGAAAAAAAGAGGGAGAGAACGGAGCGGCATCGCCACCATTCAAGGCAGCACACAACAAAACCCACAAAAAAAGTAGAATCATAAAATTGATGCTGGCTGGCGCACATCGAGAATATAAGTCAGTGACATGCATGCGATGGAACTTTGCAAATTTTTCATTTATTTATTAGCGTGTTGGCGGCGACGGCCTTTGGTGGAATTTGGAGAAGTGTTTCGGGAGAGAGGGGGGGAGGGTGAGTGCATGCGTGCTTGGTGTCCTCAGCCATGATGCTGGATAAGTTGGGCAATTCGGTTTTGTTTTCTTTCGTATTCTCGCACAAATTTTCGCGCCAATGAGGTTCGTTGTTGTTATAATCGGCAGTGACTTTGACATGTTTTTTAGACGCTCAGACGGACTAGTTTTGTTGTTTTTTTGTTCTCTTGCAACTTTCCCATGTGCATGCAACAGCACCACCGAAAGGCAACATTATCATCATCAACAACATAAACAGCCGTTGCCGGTCATTGCTCGTTGGTCATGGAACTGAAATGGATGGGAATGGATGGTGGGTGGATGGATGGATGGATGGCTGGTGAGTCGTAAGTGTGTGTTTGCTGATGATTGCTCATTTAGGCAAGTGTAGGACAAGGCCATTACTGAAAGCAATTTCTGTTGACTTTGCTGTTCGAAAGGAGGATGTTTGCATTGCAAACGCCAACGACAACAGAAATAAAATAGAATCAACAACAACGGCAACCGTGCCAGCTAAGAATTGATTGCAACCCACCCCCTGGCTGGATATCTAGTTCTAAGCAGCAGCGCATCCATCGATTCTAGCGACAATTGCAAGCCAACACACCGAGAGTTCGCTGGCTGGTCGACTGTTGAATGCATTGGAATGGATTAAAATAAATACTAATTGAATATTTTCTTTTGTCGTTTTGTGTTTTTGTTTCAACGGTTTCTTTTTGTCTCCGCTGCATTCATTTCGAATTCGATGAATGATGTTGCTGTTCGCCGTTGACGATGGGCTGGCAGGCAGCTACCAGTGGATGAAGTGATGATAATTGAATTGTGAGCGAGAGCAAAACATTTTTCCTTTTGAATTACTCGACGGGGTCGTTGCAAAGAAAGTGGTGCAAATGTTAATTTTATTTGACTTTGGGTGCAAGATCGGATAAATTTAGATTGCCTCGCAAGTGAAATTTATTGCAAATTGTCTCTGTGAGAAATCATAAAAAAATGGGAGCAAAATTATAATTTTTAAATATACATCTGTGTGTTTATGTCATAAGAAGGTGTAGTTTTGTAAGTTTTGATGGGAAGAGGGGTGGGAATATGGCGAAATATTTAAACATAAATGCACCTAAGTCGGATTAGGTAATCTGGGTTCTCTGGGCTGTTGTTTTTATTTGTTTTAAAGCAAAAGTTTCGTCAAAAGCTTAGTTAAGTAGGTATTCTGTTCGTTTTTATACCCTCTGTCATACTATGGCGGATATAATAACTTTGTCGTTCCGTTTATTACACCTCGAAATACTTATGTCAGACCCAACAAAGTATATATATTCTTGATCACCGTAAAATTCTAAGTCGATGTCCGTCTTGCTGTCTGTGTGTCTGTCTGTCAGTTGTAATCACGCTATCTTTCGAACGAATTGGGGGTAGAAAGCTAAGATTTTGCACAGATGTCTTCGTATAATTTCCACATTACAGCGCCTTTCAATATTCGGTAATTTGATGAATTAGCGATTTTATAGATTGGAATTGTTCCAAATTTCGTATTTAAACTTCGTAATGAGTACTACAGCCTTTGGCAAAAGAAAATCCACTAGCCATAAAAATATCACAATAACTCCGCATATTCGAAATTTTGATTATTTTGGAGACATTATTCGCCGGAAGTGTTTCATTTGAAGACATTATTCACCGAAATTGTTTCGAATTTGGTATTTGAAATTCGTAATGGGAACTTCAGCCTATGACAGTAAATTATCTTTACATGTCCACATCTTCGTATACTACACATATATTTCTTTTTTCGGTATTTTAATGATATTAGCTAGATTATTCAACTGATATATTTAGATTTCGTCCTAATGGGTACTACAGCCTATGAAAAAATTGCGTATGCGGGTGATCTTCTTCGTCTAGCCCAAATATAACGGCTTTCACTTTAATGGTATGTTTCAACGAATTTTATTTTAAAATTTTCAAGTTCCTTCTCAAAAGACGAGGGTATTAAAAGTTCGACCCGGCCGAACTATTGCTTTGTCCGAATTTTTTGAGACTTCTTTCGAAAAACGACTTCACTCGAACTACTTCTTCCCATAAAAATTTCACCAACTCCTTTTTTTAAATTACCACAAATCAAGACTTATCAGCACACCAGAGTATTAAATGTCACGGTTCTAGACAAAACCGATGAAGTTCTTTTGGCCATATTGTATAAAAGACACTCAGTAAAAATAAAACTTATTGCCCATAGACATCTCTGTTTTTTAACTTAAAAAAAAAAATAAATATTTCCAAAACATTTTAATCAAAACTTTTCAAAAACTAAAAAAGAGAATGTCAAAGAAAATCAAATTTGATACCAAATCTGCTGATGGTCATCCCAAAATCAACGACACCGATCAGCAAACTTCTGAGCCAAACGATGATCTGCCGCAAATAGAATTCGATGGCGATGACGAAAATGTAGCCTCACGCAAAGCTCGATTGGCTGTGCAGCCCTCTATGGATTCAATATCATCGCAATCAACTCGGGGCAAAGTAAGCATACATTGGATAAAAGTGGCCATCCTCTTTGTTATTTGGCTTATCTATGCCTCGGCCATTGTTACACATGAAGAAAAGGTGATGAATCCAGTATTGACCGGAGTATGGCCTAAGAAAACCAAACGATTGGAGGTTCCTCATGTAGATGTTGTTAAGAAATCAATTGGTATTCATGTAATGGGAGCTTTCCGAGAAGGTCACGATGCCACAACGTATGTACCCAACAAAAATGAACCGTACATTTCTATGCATTTGGAACTCACCAAATCCGATGTTCCGGAGACCATAAGTCAAAAACATTATCTCTTGTTGAATACCGACAAAAAACTACAATATAGTCCGGTGATGAAGAAATCGTTTGTCATGGAATTAAACGGAGTTATTTCCAAAATCGCTGGTGAAAAATCAATTGCTCTTGTCATGAACACCAATGTGGCCGAGGTTTTGACCATGAAAATCTGGTTTGACCCCAGTCCCTTGGATAAATCTCTTGGAATACCCTTGGGCTCATTGGTGCTACTCTTTTTGTATATCCTGATAATTTGGGAATTTGTTAATCGCACTTTTGCTGCAGTGGTGGCCTCAACCTTGGCAATTGGTATATTGGCTGCCCTAAATGCCAGACCCTCACTTCTGACCATAATGTCCTGGGTTGATGTGGAAACGTTGATGTTACTTTTTGGTATGATGATTTTGGTATCCATATTATCTGAGTCCGGGATTTTTGACTATCTGGCAGTATTGGCCTATGAACTCTCCAAGGGCAATCTCTTTGGCCTGATCTGTGTTCTTTGTCTTTTTACGGCTGTGCTTTCGGCCTTTTTGGACAATGTCACCATGATGTTGCTGGGGGCACCCGTCACAATACGCCTGTGTGAAGTTTGCAATTTGAATCCGGTGCCCGTTCTCATGTCCATGGTCATATATTCGAATATTGGTGCCGCTCTCACGCCCGTCGGAGATCCTCCAAATATACTGATCATGACCAACCATTACATCAATACCCATGGAGTTAATTTTGGCAACTTTTGCTTACACATGCTGCCTGCAGTTGTATTGGGCATAATCTCCACCTTTGTCCATCTTCGTCTAAAGTATCCAAAGATAAGGGATTTCATGAACAAACAATCGGTGGAAATTGAGGCTTTGAAACACGAGATACAAGTGTGGGAGAAGGCAGCGCAGGCCATAACTCCCTCCACAACCGATGAAGAAATCGTCCAGAACACCCTACACAAGAAGGCCAAAGCTTTGAAACAAAAGTTAAGGGAATTGGAAGCAAAGGCGGTGTTTGTCACCACCGATTTTCAAACCACACTGCAGTACATGAAGAACACCTATTCCATACGCAACAAGGTGCTGCTGATCAAGTCGACAGTGGCATTTGTTTTTGTGCTGTTCCTTTTCTGTTTGCACGCTGTGCCTCATTTACATCATCTGTCGCTGGGCTGGAGTGCCTTAGTGGGTGCCATGCTCCTGCTAATACTTGCCGATGAGGAAGATATCGAAACTGTTCTCTCTCGCGTGGAATGGTCAACTTTGCTTTTCTTTGCCTGCCTTTTTACGCTGATGGAATCGCTCACGGAACTGGGCCTCATCGAAGTTTTGGGTAATTTGTGTGTTGAAATTATTAGTACCGTTACTCCACAATATCGCCTCCTGGTAGCTGTTCTTTTGATTTTATGGGTTTCTGGCATTGCCTCAGCATTTCTGGCCAACATTCCAGTGACAACAATGATGGTTAAGATTGTGATTAGCTTAGCGCAGAACGATGAGCTGAAGCTGCCATTGACACCTCTGGTATGGGCTCTTGCTATGGGTGCTTGTTTTGGGGGTAATGGCACCCTGATTGGAGCCTCTGCCAATGTGGTGTCATCCGGTGTTGCGGAACAGCATGGCTATCGTATTTCATTTCTTGAATTCTTTTTCTTTGGTTTTCCCATTATGATCAACACATTGGTAGTGGCTTCGCTTTATCTGTTTATTGCTCATTGTTTGTGGGAGTGGCATTAGATGGAGAGATTTGTGGTGGAATGTCATTTTTATTAGTTATTTATTAATTTTTATTGAAAAATAAATGGAAAACGCGTCTTTCGAACATAAAAAATAATATTTGGATATTAGCGTAATTGTTATCCATATTAATCAGAATTAATTTTATACATTCATATACTAAAAGATCTTGTAAAATACGACACTTCTCTTCCGACGAATAGTTTTATTAGCGGCTTTCAAGCTTTGTTTGTGCATAAATATAAATCTCAGCATTTTCACCGATATCTCTTAACTATTGACATTTTGAATATAATTTTTAAAGAATTGTGTTGTATTTGACATTTGATGTTCGATGTGTTTGGAACTTTCTCCTACCGGAGAACCAAGCTGGTAGAACATATCTTCGATAAATTATTTATTATAGACACTACAGGAAGAAATAAAAAACTGCAACAAAGTCAAACGCCATAATTTTTACATTTTTTTCTAAATTTTATTGAATGAAAGCAAAAAATTTCGGAAATAGCATCAAATTTTAGAAGAAGTTTAGATTTGTTCGAATTGGTCACCTTTGGCACAATTATGGCCTTTAAACGGCCAATGAAACCATCACATGCTGTCCGAATGTTGCTCTGCGGTATTTTGGTCCATTTCCGGTGAAGCGCTTTCTTGGTATTTTTTAGTGCCAACCTTGCTTTCCAAAATACTTCAGACGCAGTAGTCCAACGGATTGATATCCAGAGATTTTGGTGGCTATTGGGGGAAATGAAGCGAGGAACCTCATTTTGTAACCATTCTTGGGTGGCGCGTGCTGAGTGCCATGGTGCTGAGTCCTGTTTGAATGTCCAAGGTCTACGGCCAAAATGTTTGCGTGCACAAAGCTTTAATACACCCTCCAGAATATTTTCGCGATGATATTCGGCATTTATTCTGATGCCACGGTCGTTAAATAGGAACGGAGAGCGACCATCGGCTGTTATGGCGGCCCACATCATCACCATGTCCGGCGCTTGAGTTCTGGTGGCCAACCAAAGGTAATGTTCAGCTGACCTCTTTGACAAGTATTCACGATAATTTTGTTTGTTAACAATGTGCTACAAATTCGGCAGTTCACCAATTTCGGCCAAGCAACTCTTTAGCTCTTTTCTGTCTATTTTCTTTCTGTTGTGCTGTGAATTCTTGCGCTTTTCGAAATTTTAATGGCTTTACCCTGAGCTCATTTTTCAATATTTGCCGAATGGAATATTGCGAAATATTCAGCTCACGAGCCATTTTTCGGCCACTGCGACGCGGATTTCGATAAAGTCGCTTCTTTACTTTTCGAACCATTTCTGCTGATGTTGCTGTTTTCTGCCGTCCAATTCCTTGACGTCGGGCTACGCTACCAGTATCACGGTAACGATCGATGGTACGAGATACAGAAGATTTATTCGCATTTAAATACTGGAGTGCTTTAACGATAGCCACTTGTGGTTTTCCAGCCAAATATAAAGAAATCATACTATCACGCATGAATTCCATCACGAATAACTTTTTTTTTTCTGGAAAATTCTCACGAAAATTATTTTGTACTCTTGTAAACAATATAATGAGCTCTCATTGGAATAATTTTAACAGCTGTCGGACGGGTGGCTTAGAAATGACAGCAGTCTGAAATTGGTAGCAGTTTTTTCATCTCACTCTGTATATAATGCTAGACTACGACATACAAGTGTCCCATAGACGAGTTTCTTTTTCTGCATTTCCATTTCTTTCGATACACAAATTATTGACTGCCTTTATCTCCATACATAGACTTTAACACTGTTCTTCTACCTCTGACAGATCTCCTTTAACCAAGACAAATGTTAAGCCACATTCAGAGTCTTCAAGTCTGCTCGGATTGGCTGTTGTATATTTTTGTTGCCTTTAATTCAATCCATTTGCCATTCGATCCATTTGCCATTCGATAACAACAACAGCAGCAACAACAACACCAAGTAAGTCAAGCATTGTTTGCAAACAACGGTGGTGAGTAAAACAAACTCTTTCAAATGCCAGTGAAATTGTCAGCGATGTCATCGGCGACAGTGACGAGTGGAAGCGATAACACCAACTTGATCCGCTCTCGATTCGACTCTGACGATGATGTTTGCTGATTGTAATGATGTTGAAGTGTTGATGATAGCGACGATGTTGATGAATTATTCATAATTGAAACAACGATGACTTCTTAATAGGTTTTTGTTGCTGGTTCGATTTGCCTCGTTGGAGGAGGAAAGCAGAGGGGGTGATGGGGGAGAGTTGTGTCACACCGTAGCAATACACAGTAACCAAGTGACTGATATACGTGGTGTTCACACACACACACACATGAATCTACCCTATCACCTATGCAATGTCTGGGCGATGCAAAGTAAAATGGCAGGGGATACAATGAGGGGATGAGATAGGGAGAGAGAGGTGGTGACTACAATAAAATGAAAAAAAGTAGTAGTGAACAGTAATAGTTTGCTTGAAATTGAAAAAATTGCAACAATTGCCAAGAGGTCGTCATATGTCACAACTTAACTCTGTTCGACTTAACTGACTCCACAACTGCCAAGTAAATCTATGAAAAGCGATTGCAAGGGATTTCCAACACAAATATTTGCTTGATATTAAATTTTTAAAATCATTACTACAATTGTAGTGTGGATGCCAATGACGATTTTATTGCGAAATGACATATTTAAGACCTTCTCACGATTTTTCCTATTTTGAAAATATTTCTTTTTTTTTGTATTATGTGCTTTTAACTACCGGCAATTTGTGCTTGCTAACTTACGAATATGAACGTGGAATTCTAAGTACTCTCTAACCAAATTCCTGTCTATGTAAAAAAATATTCTAATATGCAAAATTTGGGTATTCAGTTCATATGTTCCAAATTTGTGTTTATCAAGAAGAAAGGACGAGTGAGTTAATACAAATGCAATCTTGAAACCGTGATTACGATTTTACATAAAATTTACACTTTTGTATGGAGGAGGGAAGATAATTTCTATGTTCACACTATGTGAGGTAGACCGTTAAAGTTAAGACTTTCTTTAAATACGTTTTGAGAGAAAATCCGATGGAACGGAACGGCAACTCTCTTCTTGAATTATTGTCTTATTGTCCTGGATAAATGGACTAGCTGCCTTTGTGACATGATTGATGATCATTTGTGAGAAGAATGAAGAACCATTTACAGGAGAAGTACCAGATGTGGTGGACTGATATTGCTCATTTGCGACGTCCATATAAGTTTTATAAAAATATTTGAAAATATCAATATATTATTAAACCTCATTCGAAAGTGGTTTAGACTAATTGTCTTACAGATATTTCGAGGAAATGTTCTTTTTGGAATTTAAAGATTGGCGGGATTAAACCAGTTTCAGTTGAAGGCTGCATTTTTTTGGACGAAATCCCTTTGAGGTGATTTTCGGTAGAACTATTTTTCATCTCTCAAAGGGGGTATCCAAGGACGTCAGATTGTAATATTTGTTGAAAATACAATCAAGTTTGAAAAAGGCTATTTTATATCGTAGTTTTATCAATCGTTAGGAGATGGACAGTCTATCTCGTTCACTCTTCCTTTCCCACAAGGAGTGTTTATACCCAACCCCACATAGTGCTAAGGGTATTATGTCTTTGTCCATTTGTTTGTAACATGGAGAAGGAAGCGAGATAGACTCATAGCTACTTGTGAGGACGTTCATAGAATCACTTTCTGAATCAATTTATGCATGTCAGTCCGTCTGTTCATGTATTTTTGTGAACAAAATGAATGCCGTATTTATTATTCGATTGAGACGAAATTTTCCAAACAATATTTGTTTAGCTCGAGGACGAACCCTATTGAAATTGGTAAGAATTGGTTTAAATTTACATAAAGTTCAACCGATTTCGGATTAATTGTGCACGAAATGCCTAATATAACTCCAATTGACCTGTATTTTGGCACATCCGATCAAATTCAATCTAGAAGCAAGTACATCAAATTTTGTGAAAATCGGTTCAGATATAGCTATGGCTCTCATGTATATGTTTCATCCCTCACATTCGTACTATGCACTTCACAAAAATTATATTTGCTCGGTCAAATTTTATCGAGATCGGTTCAGATTTGGATATAGTTCCCATATATATCTTCAACCACTTTCGGGTTAATTGTGCACCAAATGGCTGAGATCAGTTCAAATTACCAGAACATCCGTCCGAATTCAGTCTAGAAGCAAATACATCAACTTTGGTGAAAATCGGTTTAGATATAGCTATGGCTTCCATATATAAATTTGAATATAGCTCCCATACATATCCTTAATCCGATTTCAGTTTTTTGTGCAAATAATGGCTAATATCAGCCCAAATGGAGTGAATTTCGAGACGTACATTTCCATTGTGTGGAACTCGGCTCCGAAATATATATTTTTAATATAATCCTTCTCGTAGTGATATCATGCACTATATAGCAACGTTATTTGGGATAAAAGATTAAAATATCTCCGTCAAATTTAGTGAAAATCGATTCAGAATTGGATATGCTGCCTCCCATATATTCGTTCCCTCTGAAACTAAACGATAACTGTTCTAAAGCCAAATGTTTTTACGGGGGCTCTACTAAATATTGCTAGTGGCCCCGCCCGACTTTTCCTTAGTGGTTTATAATATAAAGTAGGTTGATATAATTTTACTCACATGTGTGGACTTTTGGTATTGAAAATGTTATATCCCCTTATATAACTGCACCAGCAGGTTTAAGGTTTACACAATTTTAACCCGAATTTCCTAATAATTTGGTAGTTGGTGTTCCCAGTATTTAGGAAATATTCTTACATGGAACTGTACATATTGGTTCAAGTTTTGCTAGCGATCCATATAACACATTTCACCGGAATTGTTTTGAATTTGGTATTAAGTAATTGGTACTAACTCCTATGACGGAAAATTTCCTATACAGATTCAGATATAATTGTGCCTCCATATCTTGGGTATATTGATGATTTTTGATGAATTTTTCAGCAAAATT